AATTTTAGAATCCAATTCCAGTAGCGAACTATGACTCTTGAACCTTGGCCCTCTCCCCTACCCTCCTCGGTAATAAACTACCAGCCTAGCTTACATTGTCCTCTTTTAAAAGGTATCTTTGGCAATTCCACTTCTGAAACTATTAAGGGGCAAATCCAGCCTTAAGGGGGTCACAAACTGGAGGAGAAACCCAGCGTTGCGTCACATCTTTAAAATTTTAACACATTGTTTTCTATGAGTGTGCACCAGCTCCCAGCAACAACTTTTCAACAACACTTTTCAAAATCCTGCCTCGCCACCGAGAGACACTCACATACAGTAGTTTTCCATTAAATCACTTTATATTTGTCCCAAATTACAGTTAATGTACAAAGTGACTTCATCCTCATCCTTCATCTTGCGCTGCGCTGTGCCTCTTGTTCGGTGTGAGACCGCCTTTTGGAAATGCAAAAAGAAAACAGCAGAGCAAAAGTGACTGATATCACCAAAATAAAACAAAGCTAATTTTAAGTAAAATGCAAATCCTCATTACAAAAAAATTGCATCATCCCATAATCGGTGTGTGCACTTCAGCGTAACACGGACAGCAGGCCAGGTTGTAAAAAGTACAGATACACCCTCCTACCACACAAACCCAACAAAATTTAATGTAAGCCATGACAACTGCGCTCACAGCAAAGCAAACTATTGAGAGACAGACACTATTATCAACCAACAAGCATTGCTGATAATAAATACTATTATATTATTGGCATTAATATAAATAATATTAATAATATGATATAAATAATAAGCACAGTGGCCTATTCAATGTTCTCACTTACTTTATTTGAGGCTTCCATTATGACTTGAATAACAGTCTAGCTAGCTAGTTTATCTGATTTTTTTTTTTTTTTTGATAAAGTTCCCCACAGCGGGCGAAACTTGTTATAAAGTTAAGTGACAACAAAGCCCACCCATTTAAAGGAAAGATATGATTGGTCAACTTTCCTGTCATTTGAAATTTCTCTCCCATTGACTTACTATTGTTTGGCCCTTGGTAATTTCATAGCTGGTCCACCAATCACAGAGCCGAAAGCTTTAGGTGAAAACATTCTAATAATGAGAAAATGGGCATCTTTCATTTAAACCTTCACCTTCCAACACAAACTGAATATAGGCAGATTTGAAGAGTTCATTTCTACAGAAATTTTATTTATTTTATTTAGATGTTTATTGTCAAATTAAAAATGTATTAAATAAAACTAGAAATTATGATTTTTTTTAATTAAAAATATTTAAAAGTTTAAATTTTTAATTTTTAATTAAATTTAAAAGAAAAAATAATAATTTAACATGTTTAAATATTGTTTTGGCAATAGTTTAGGCCCTCTCTGAGGACCTAGAGGGCCCTGACGGTTCTTTCTTTCTTTATTGTTCACAATAGTAGGACATAAATTGAAAATGCAGTTGTTTTGTCCAAAAACAGTTTTTTTTTTCTTTTTTCCCATTTTTCTTTCTTTTTTATTCAGTTGTTTTATGTCAAAAATACTGATTGGCATTCATGAAAAGATGATCAGATTATGATGGGGAATGGGGTTTAAGCTGACTAAAATATTTGTATGCGATGTTTTTTTTTTTTTTCTCCACAAGTTTTAAAGATTTCTGTTTCAACCTTTCTGCTTGACAGTACAATTTTGGAATGCAGAAAATATTGATGTGTTGATTAGCCCTATACTGCAGTGTTTCCCAACCCTGTTCCTGGAGGCACACCCACAGGGCACATTTTCAAACTCTTCCCAATCAGATCGGGGAGACATCCAAAATGTGTACTGTTGAGTTGAGAAACACTGGATTACTGAATCCTGTACAACATTTCGTATGCATGGAACCAGTGTTGGGGAGTAACTAGTTACATGTAACGGCGTTACGTAATTTAATTACAAAATAAATGTAACTGTAATCAGTTACAGTTACTAAGAAAAAATAGGCATTAAATAATTGAAATGTCAGCTTTAACTGGAGGACAATATAGTGTGATACAATAATAAAACAGGTTCATTTGTATTTTCATGCACTTGTAATACAATAAAAGTTCTACATATACCCTTCTTTTCTTTGAAACCTTTTTTGATAGGAAACTAGTTCTGTTGACATAAAATAAAAATGTTCAATGGCAATGACAAGATGTAATAGTGGTATTTTTTATTACATTTTTATATTGCCATTGGTTTAATGGGTTGAAAGGTTAAAATATTAATAGAATGTAAAAATTTACAATACCAATTTATAATCTTTTTTAATTTAATTACTTTCTGGACTCGGGCGGACTCGACTCGGACTCGGCCTTTAAGAACTCGGACTTGAGTCCAACTCGGCCCCTTTCGGTCTCGGACTTGGACTTGATGTTTAAGGACTTGGTCTTGACTCGTACTCGACAAAGGTGGACTCGGACCCAACTCTAGTATTTAGACCTATTTAACAATGGTTGCAGAGATTGCTAATCCTGCTCCCAGAGAGCAACTCTCCTGCAGCGTTCAGCTCCAACCCTGATCAAACACAGCTGAAGCAGCTAATCAAGGAGTTCAGGATTATTTGAAAATAACAGGCAGATGTGTTAGAGCAGTTTGGAACTGAAATCTGCAGGTAGACCTCCAGGAGAAAGGTTGGCTACCCCGGTTCAGTTGTTCCCAACCGTTCCCAGAGCCCCCAACACTGCACATTTTGCAGGTCTCCATTGTCTAAGTGCATAGTTTGTGCTTGATGTTTAATAATCATTTGAAACTCATTTGGCTGCTATAGTAGTAATGAAAAGATTTATCCTGAACTCTCTCATGAAAACTAATCCATGACAATTTTTTTTTAATTGTTTAAGCTTAAATAAACGATTTAAAAATCAATACCTTTAGGACATTATGCTGTAACCACATTGGACAATCAGTTTGAAAAATGGATGGATGGATGATTCAGCTACAGGAGCCATCTTCTGGTGAGATGCCAGAATTCATTTGACATAACCCTCACAGTCCATTATGGGTATTCTCTAGTCACTGAGTGTACATCGATTGCACATTTGTTCTTGCGGTGCATTATGGCAGTGTTTCTCAACCAGGGGTCCGTGGAACCCTAGTGGTCCTTGACGTAAGGCCAGGGGGTCCGTATAAAGTATGAATTGTTGTATACATTTTGTATATTTTGACATGACATGTTCCCATGAAAGAAAAATCCAATATAGCTGATGATATGGCCAAATACTGGACAAGTCAGCTAACTTGAATTATACTTGACTGTATTTGGTCCTCACAAAGATACAAATGATACATAGATGAGTCAATTTTGTTCTGGGGGTCCTTGATGATGGTTCTGAATTGGACTGGGGTCCGGTACACCAAAAGGTTGAGATTCACTGCATTATGGGATTGAATGAGTGCACTCGATAACATTCACTATGGCAGGGGTTCTCATCTCAGGCTCTCGAGGTCCACTTTCCTGCATAGTTTAGCTTTAATCCTAATCAAACACACCTGAACAAGCTAATCAAGGGCTGCGTTTACACTTGGCATTAACATGCGATCACCGTGATCTGATCAAGCAGATTGGATCATCAGTCAATCAGAACATGGCGCATTTGCACTTGGCAACATCAAGTGACTTCTCTATCTGGATAACCAATCGGATCTCTCTTTCCCATGCAATATTCAAATAAGTCTTACACCGTGTCTACACTGGACACGAGCGGCACAGCACGACAAAATACTATAGAACCCATTATAATCAGTGATGCTGTCTACACTGGATGTCGCGACAAGACAAATCCCAGAAAATAAACTGTTGCCTCTTCCTATTTATGACGCACTGACACAAAGTGCCTTGTCGCGTCCAGTGTAGACAGCCTCACATCTGCACGGTGTTAAGTGTTCGAGTCTCACTAGCGCTCCACGGCCTGGTGCCCTCCATCTTTCTTCTGACAGTTCGGGAGAGAGTGGGCAGGGTTTTGCATGACGTCAACCTGCAAATGCAGACACGATGGCTGGATTGCGTTTACATTACACTGAGATCTGATCACAATACGCCCTCGACTACCTCTGGACCAGGACACGCTGATCGGATAACATTCCGATCAGAAGCGCATTTACACTTGTCTTTTCAATGTGTATGTGGACAACATCCGGATACAAGTCGCATGTTAATGGCAAGTGTAAACGCAGCCAAGGTCTCCAGGATTACTAGAAAGTTACTGGCAGGCGAGTTTGATCAAGGTAGGAGCTAAACTCTTCAAGAAAGTGGACCTCGAGGGCCAGAGTTGAGAACCCCTGCACTATGGTTTCGGACACCACTACAAATGGCTGTCCCCTCAAGTGCCCTATTTAAGGGTATAGGGGGCGATTTCAGACATAGCCTTGAAGTTTCTACTAATGAGCTGATGACCTGAATCAGGTGTGTTTAAATAAGAAGACAAAATGTGCACTGTTTGGGGGTCTCTAGGAATGAGGTTAGGAACCACTGCCCTGGTTTGTTGCCTCTGCAGACTCCGCTTTGACCTGTAGGCCTGGAGTTCTCATCTCTGGACCTTGAGGTCCATTTTCCTGCAGAGTTCAGCTCCAACCCTAATCAAACACACCTGCACAAGCTAATCAGGGTCTTCAGGATTACTTGAAAGTTGCAAGCAGGTGAGTTTGAGCAAGTTTGGAGCTAAACTCCGCAGGAAAGTGGACCTCGAGGGCCAGAGTTGAGAACCCCTGCCGTAGGCCTTCTGAATATGTATTTGTTGTATCGGAGTTGGTTGTTGACTCAGATTGTCATTCATATTGTATGGACATACCTTGTTCATACAATATGAGTGAACCCAAATCTTTCACATGTCCAGAACCCACTGGTGTAATATCTGATGTTCAGCACAGAGCATTTCACAGCAGGAGCTTAAATGCACAAACCCCATGAAATGAAGTGATTTTGCTTTATTTGTCTGGGATATGATTCCCATCTTTCCCTTCTCCTTGACCCCTTTACCTATGTCTTACCTTTTTGGTACTGGAGCCAGAGCTGTTGCTGGGACTTCTTGCTGGGGAAGTAGATGTTGCAGGTGAGCTCAGAACCATACAGCGCCTCAGAGATGTAATGACTGCCGTACTGCTGAATAAACGCAAGCAACTCATCCCGCGTGCTGTCTGCCGTCAGGGATTTCAGCACCTTTGAGAAATCTGACCAAAGCACCAGCACACATACAGAAACAATTAATTTATTATATTGAGAAAATCTTTGATTCATTGTCATATATTTCTTGCTTGTCACCAGACCTTTTAAGAGGCCAGTGAAACTTGCTTTATTACGCCTACAATTCCAGTACTCTGACAGTGATATAGTGCATTCTCCCTTTTTCAGTGGCATTGTTCCAGAAGTGTTTTTTCTCATTTATTTTCAATGAAAAGCTATCCAGCTTATTTTTAATGTAAAAGCAGGCACGGCCATTTTTAACCTGAATGTGCAAGGCTTCCAGTGTCAGCCGCTTACAGTTATTGTTGCTGTACAAAAACAGGTCGTTACATTGCTTGATGTTACAAACTACTTTTTGTTATCACATAATTAGCCTAATCATACACACACGTTTGTAGCACAAATAGTTTTACTGTTTAACACTTCATTTTATTAAGTTATTTACCTATAGCGAATAATTAAATGACAATCTCACACATTCACCCAAAAAATTAATATTAGGTCTTCGTTTACTCTTCCCAATGCTGTTCCAAACCTGTGTGATTGACTTTCATCTGTGGACCACAAAATATATTTTGAAAAATGTCCCTTTTTGGCCATTCTTTGTCATACTGACTTTCAAAATATGCTAAATCGTGCCTTATCTGTTTGTACTACTGACCAGTTCTCCTTGTTTTTATATTACTTTCGTTTAAAGCAGCTGAAGAAAGGTATTGTGACTTTACATCAGCCCAGTATGAGAATTAATAGAAGTTTGATTTTCATGCAATGACTTTATTGGACTTTTACAGATGCAGAGGGTATGAAAAGATAACTACACATGGCATTTTTTTTTTATTTTAATAAGCCTTCTGTAGTGACTTAAGCTTTCAATGTAACCATTTTTAACGACATGCCTGAGCGATTGAACGAGAATGTGTCCATCTCATAGTCTCAATTCAGCATGGACTTGTTTCCTAACTAATCTCAACATGCTGCCATTTCTTTCTAAATATCTTGTATTAAAAGTTACAACAGTGCCAAGTTTTTGTCCTCAGAGGCAATGCTGGTAAGTACTTTTATTAATAGTGGAAGTGTGTTTGTAACAGTTTAACACTATTAAGAGACCAAGTGTCTCTTTGTTAGAGTGCCAAATTTGAATTGAATATTGTGTAAAGAAAGCAAAGTCAAGCTGAATATACGAGTCTACTGAGTTTGTCACCATTCCCATCACAGCAGTTAGCACATTTACTTGCATTTCTGCTAGAGATAACACCCTTTTTGACAGAGAGTGAAAATGAGGAAGGAAAATTATCATTAAAAAAAAATTATATATATATATATATATATATATAAACTGTGTTACATTGAAGAAAAATCATATGGGTTTGGAACAACATGAGGGTGAATAAAAAATTTTCATATTTTAAGTGAATTAACCCTTTTAAGTATAAATGTGCTTTACACATACGCACACATGAAGGAGGAGTATTCATGGTTTTGAAGTTTGTGTGTTTCTCGTGGTACCTGTAGACAGGGTGATGGCACTGAGCTTCACTCTATACAGGTTACTCCGCACTCTCCACTGTTGCATCATGGGGTATCCTGTGGCTTCACTGAACTGAGCATCTCCTGTAACACAGACACACATTAATGCCCCACTTCTGCAACTTTATTAATAGCTACATTTCAGACATTAACAGTTTCCCATGAGACACAAGGAGGTTTTACTCAAGGAGGTGCTTACTGGCTCGAAAAACTGAATACTCCACTGAGACCCTTCTGAAAAAAAAGTAGTGTGCTTAACTGCATTTAAGGTGCACTTGTAGTGTAATTATCATCTTTAAAATATATATATTTTTTTAAATGTACTTGAAGATAATATATTAATAGAATGAAAGGTAACTTAAGTGTATTTTAAGAGAGTACAGTTTCATTATGGTTTAAGTGTACTTTGTTATAACGTCAAATTACATACTGTAAAGTACTGTCACGGTTGCACTACTGAGTGGAGTGCGGAGCAAGGAATGGAGGGAGACGAGGAGTACATCAATCCAGAGAATTTTAATGATAACAAGGAACAAGGAAAACTCACGTAGCACACGTAGACATAATCTCAATGGATCAATGGAAATAAACAGGGAACACCTGGAATTAAATCAACATAATCAGGACAGGAGCAGGAAACTAAGCAAATATGGGCATAAACACTGGGACACAGGCAGCACATGGGGAACAAAACACAACACAAGCCTGACATGACGCCCCCCTCCGGAAGGCACGTCCTCGCGCCATACAACATGAAAGGGGTGGGAGGGTGGGCGCCTTGGAGATCCCTCAGGACAGGCTTGGACGGGACAGGATGCCCCAAGCCGGTCCTAGATCCGGGCACCATGGCGGAGCAGGCAACTCAGGAGACCATAGCGGATCTGGCAGTTCGGGGCGCCATGGCGGAGCAGACAGACTCGGAGGCCATGGCGGATCTGGCAGCCCAGGAGGCCACGTGGCCCCGTGCCAGAACAGCGAGTTGAGTGTGGAGTCATCCAAGGCCGTAGCCGCGGCAAGCCTGCAGAACTCCCAGGAATACTCAACGAAGGGGAGATCCATGCGAGGTAAGGCGGCGAACCGAGCGGCAATTTCCATAGCCACGGGGAAAACAAAAAAAACGTTCAAAATGAAAAAAAAAAAAAACGGGGAGAAGAGGCGCCGCTCACTTTCAGTCTGGTCCGGTATTCTGTTATGGTTGCACTACTGAGTGGAGTGCGGCGCAAGGAACGGAGGGAGACGAGGAGTAAATCAATCCAGAGAATTTTAATGATACCAGGAAAAACTCATGAAGCACATGTAGATATAAACAATACCGGACGCTGAACTAAAAACAGGGAACACTATTTAAACACATGACAAGACGAGAGGATGACGAGACACACCTGGGATCAATGGAAATAAACGGGAAACACCTGGAATTAAATCAACATAATCAGGACAGGAACAGGAAACTAACCAAATATGGGCATAAACACTGGGACACAGGGAGCACATGGTGAACAAAACACAACACAAGCCTGACAAGTACATTTTAAATAATGTTTTTTACATTATTTTTACATTTGTCATGCTTTAAAGAACAGTTATTTTGATGTGTTGACTAATGACTTAACTGTAGTTTGTTATTCGACATTACATTTAAAGTTATCAAACTATATTTGAAATTTACTAAACTGCAACTTCGCAAATTTGTAATCACACATAGATTTAAATACTGTTTAAATACATGACATGCAAGTTGCAATAGAAATAACATTCAAGTATATTTTAGTTTACCATAAATGCTTGTCAGTACATTCAGCAGTACACTTTAACCATAATTCAAAGACAACAGAATTATGAAATTACATAAACTTGTCCTACTTAAGTGGGTCCATAAATAAATAAATAAATAAAAGTTCAACTAATTGCATTTAAAATAAATTTAAACTATATATTTTTTTCTTCTAATTGTAAATAATATTCAATTAAGAGTTTTCTGTTTGCGCTTAAGTATGTTTTTTATAAATATATTATTAAGAACTCCTTTTTAAAAGTATGAGTGTACTTCTTTTCACAAGGGGCTGCATTCATGCATTTATTGCTAGATGTTGCTAACATGTTTAGCACCTTTTTGCAAGTTTTAGATTATTGTGCTCTTTAGAGTTGGATGGTTTCTGGTTCTGTCCAGCACTGCGAGCATTAACAACTCTCTACTCTCACTCCTGGAAAAAAGACAAGCTGTCATTGAATTAGCCACTTGTCATTGGAGCCCGCATTTGTGTGGAGTCCACATTAGAAAGAACTGGAGTGAAAACAAATACATGCAAGGACAGCTCTGAATTGGAGTTGTGATCAAAAGCGATATGAGGAGGATATGAAAGCTTTCTGCTCCGCTGGTTTCTCTGTCCCTGAGTCAGTGAGACACAGAGCGGCCATCCACTGAGCTGATGCTATGATTACTGTCAGTTCCTCACGACATGTTCTATTTTAAAGGGGATTTATCATGAAAAACATGCTTTTTCTTGTTCTTTGAACCCAGTGAAATTGTGAGGAAAGAGTGTGAGAGAAGGGCGAAATAAACCTTGTCCACGTCTCTCCCACCACTGTCACATCCGTGTTTCAGAGCTCTTTTCCTTTGAAAAGAATGACAGCAAACCAGGACTCAAATTATCCATTTTAGATTCATATAAGTAATCACATACGTGAGGTTCATTCGTTTTCACCATCCATCTTAGTAAAAACTAGACATACCAACCCTGTATGAATCAGTGGGCCTGATTCAACCAGAAGGAGTCACAGACATCTTCTGTTAATAATTGTATCTCAAACGTTGCTTACAAAACTAACTAACTTCTAACATTATAAGTGGACCTCAGGGAAAAGACTGTGAAAGTGTAAATAGCAACAGTCCCTCAGAGGACAAGAGAAAATGAGTTGACAGTTCACTAAAGGCACACCTTAAAGGGATAGTTCACCCAAAAATGAAAATGCTGTCATCATTTACTCACCCTTATGTCGTTCCATACCTGTATGAGTTGCTTTCGTATGTTGAACATAAAAGAAGATATTTTGAAGATCGCTGGTTATCAAACAGTTGGTTGTTACCATTGACTTCCATAGTAGGAAAACAAAATACTATGGAAGTCAATGGCAACCACCAACTGTTTGATTACCAGCAATCTTCAAAATATCTTCTTTTGTGTTCAACATAAGAAAGCAACTCATACAGGTTTGGAACGACATGAGGGTGAGTAAATGATGACAGAATTTTCATTTTTGGGTGAACTATCCCTTTAAGGAAAATGTGCTTTTTATTATTTTCAGTGTATAATTGCAGAAAAAAAATACTGTATATTTGCTTTTATTGAACATCGATAAAGCAACACATTTTGTGCGGAAATGAATAATAAACTGGGTTTTTCTTTTGTTTAAAAATCATATAAACATATGAGGTACGAGGAGTGCCTTTTACCCTGAGTACTGATACAAATACTGAAGTAACATGTTTTGCATAATATCTAATTGAATACTTGTTCAAAACAATCACTTCAGCAAAGTTTGTACGATTTTCTGTTTATTATGATAAAAAAATATATTTTTGTTCAATGAATATATTGTTCATTACAAAAATAAAAAAAATAAATAAGTAAAGATTCAGAAAGCTTTGAAGGAAATCCTATAATATGGCTTTACAGTAGTAACAATAAATATGACATTATATGATATGATTATTATGATTTTTTTTTTTAATCTGATGGTTTCGTTATAAATATGGTGATTATCACCTAACTCCTAACTTTATAAATGATATTGACCATCTGAATCTAACCGTGTCATGACGACAAATGGAAACGTCAGCCAGTAATTAATTATCATGTTAATAATTGTGCCTTTAGCCCCAACAGCAGGGACGCTTCTTACCCCAAATACCAAACATATTCTTCAGTTATTGAAAACATTTTCTTTAATTACCTTGAACACAGCTGAAAATCATTAACAAGACCTTTGTCTTGCCAAATTAGAGCTGAACCCACTTTGCATTGCTGCCCACGATTGCATCAGGCCAAATTTCCATGAAATACAGTTTAGGAAAGTGCTGCGGTGAGTTTTTGTGCCATCTAGGAAAATAAAATCAAATTTGCATTTCCCCCCCGGTTGTCCTGTCGTGTGTAAGATTCACCTGAGAGCAGCTGCAGGTTGGGCAGAGGCTCTGACAGAACTCCTCGGCACTGCTCCTCCACCGGCAGAGGAATCACCATTAACCCGTCGGCCAGCTGCGGAAAATCCTTGATGAAGTTATTATCCCTGAAATTCAAATATAAATAAGGATAAAACATCAGACAGATATTAGACAGTTTTGTTGCTGTTGAGTTTGGAATGATGATACATATTTCTTATTAAAACACGCTGGGACATATTGAAGAGCTATTCCATATTTTTAATAAACAACTGCCTATATTAAGACACAACCGTGAACTATGACATTGCTAGTTAGACGCAGGTTGTGGTGAGGAAGGAGTATTTTACTGGACAAAACTTTAGATAGTAGTGATGGGAAGTCTGATTAATTTCTGCGAACTGGTTCTTTGGGACAGTTTGTTTCAATGAACCAGTTAAAAAAAAAAACACGTTTGTTTACGTAATCAGGCAATGACTTAACATACTGAATAAGCCATGCTATTATTAAAGAAACCAATAATGATTTAAAACAGATATTTTACATGTCCAAAGCATATAAGTGAATAAACTAGTCTTAAACAACTCATCTGTTTACATAATTCATGAGGAACCATAAAGTCAACTGCTCGATTCAAGCATGCTCATCATTTCTCCGTGGACATGAGCAAGTCCAATACTGTTTCCCCAGTTCAGTGCACATGTGACTCGAGAAGCGCTGAAACCATTAACCAACTAATGACTCAACTATCAACTGTTGCACTACTGTTGACTCAACTATTGCCATTCAGTGTTGGGGGTAATGCATTACAAGTAACGCAAGTTACGTAATCGGATTACTTTTTTCAAGTAACTAGTAAAGTAATGCATTACTTTTTTAATTTAGAAGGAAATATCTGAGTTACTTTTTCAAATAAGTAACGCTAGTTACTTTGTTTCCCATGTACTGACTGACAGCTCTCGTGTTGCCATGATGAGATAAATCGGGAGTAAGTGCAGTGGCGTTGTGTGTTAGTTCTAGACTAAATATGAACATTATTTACTCATCTCACTGCACAAAAACAGATTCAGTATTCTTCGTAATGAATAAAAACAGTCAAATGCAAACTCAGAATATTATATAAACCTGCAATAATTAGATGTTAAATAAGACAAATATCATTTATGTATTTAATCCCATTTTATTAACCAATGTCTTTGCTACTGACCTTCGATTATCTAATTCAACCATACTAATAAGCAAACATGACATTTGTGTTATTGCTGAAGAGTTGAACGTTCGTCTCCTGCGTCATATTCTTCATGCAATTTGTTTGAGCTGCGCCCTCTACTGTACAGACGTGAATTTACATTTCCTTCAGCCTGAGGCATATTCATTTCACTTTTGTTGTGAAAAGCGCTTTTACATTTGTAAAATAACTTTTTTTATATTAAAAACTAACAAGCAAGCCCTGCCCAGATTTTAAAAGTAACTCAAAAATAACGTAACGCATTACTTTCCATAAAAAGTAACTAAGTAACGTAATTAGTTTACTTTTTTAGGGAGTAACGCAATATTGTAATGCATTACTTTTAAAAGTAAATTTCCCCAACACTGCTGCCATCAGATCACTCTTTCCAAAATGTTTTATTTGTTACATGTTGTTCAGAAACATTTTCTCCCCATTAAGGAAACCCTCGGTAGAAAGTTTGCATGTCCGACACGTCCGAGAAATACCATTCAGAACTGATTCAAAATAATAATTTGTTCATGAACTGGACATCACTATTAGAAAACAGCCCTGATTAATTTAAATGAGTCCAAGTCCTAAATATTTAAATTCATTTTCCAGAATAGAAAGACTTTATATCTGCTAAAAGTCTATTTGGTCAATTTTTAAGAGGGCACTACCATACAGATCACCTCAATGCTAACAAATAGGGCCAGGCCATAGGTTTGTGGGGCCCTAGGTGAGATCATAGAAATGGGCCCCACCTGTGTAAAAATTAAAACCACTGCAAACATGACTAATGTTTTATTTTCTTTCTTATACGCAATAATATACATTTTATTTACTTTTGTTTGTTTGTTCAATTTTGTATTTTTAGAAATGGCAGCTGAGTAAATGCCAGCATATTGTTATCCTCATGTAATGGTATTTAAACAATGTCTCTGCGCATGTCTTATTGTAGTTATATTATACACTCTTTACTCAGCCCATATGACTGTGAGGTGTTTTGAAAAGCATTTTGTGATTTTGTTGCGATTTCCATGTTTTTGGCAATTTAATGAAGTGTAATTAGAAGAGCTTGAAAAGAGTCCGCACATTCAAACATTAAAGCATCACAAGCGAGATGAGAACGATATATGCAATTTACTGAATAAAACAAGGCAAACGTTTCGGTCACATGTTGACCATTTTCAATGCCAAGCTAACAAGTGAAGTGTAATTAGCCACCAATTATAATACTTCTTCAAACATTTCATCTCTTTAATTGAGCTTTCTCTCTATGAAACATCAATAGCAAACAAAATTTGCATTAGCGTCCATCTGTAAAAGACATATTTCATTGAATCATTCTCAAAACATATAGTTCAGAAATTCCATAGCCATTGTAAAATGCACGGGTCACGGGGTCACCGTCTCCTCCTGAAAACTGGTCCTCGGTGAGCGCCACTGTACATGCCTATCACTTAATAATTCAAATGATTTATTTTCACTAAATTTCACTGTAATTTGAAAAGTCGTTGTTAATAGTTAGTTAATAGTGAGAACTGGTCCCCAAACTAAAGTGCAGCCATTATTTAATAAGCAAACTTATTAAATTCAGTTTAATTAAGAAATAGTTAAACCACAAATATTTATCATTTACATTTTTGGGTGAACTATTCCAGTAACATTTGTAACTAAAGTGTTTATGAAAAAGTCATGCCAGCTAGTGAAGGAAAGTCAGTCTGACAACTCACACACCATGGGCCCTATTTTAACGATCTAAGCGCATGGTCTAAAGTGCACGGCACAATTGCGTTTAGGGCGTGTCCGAATCCACTTTTACTAGTTTAAGGACGGGAAAAATGGTCGGTGGTCTTAAAGGGTTGTCCCTATTATTTCAATGAGTAATGGGTGTGTTTTGGGCATAACGTGCCATAAACCAATCAGAGTCTCATCTCCCATTCCCTTTAAGAGCCAGTTGTGCTCGCGCCATGGCGGATTCGCTATTTACATGGCGGAATTTGCAAGCGCAAAGACAGAACGCGTCTCCAGAGATGAAACGGAGCTGCTCGTGCGCGAGCAAATAGGTAGCCTAATTCTGATACATGCAATGACTATCCATTATGACATGTAGGCATTTTTATATTTATGTAGCCTACACAATAATAATCTTTTACATTGCAATC